ACTTTGAGGCAAGAGAAACAGCATGTACAGAGGGCCTGCGATGGGAAGAATATGTTCATGAAGAACTGTGAAGAGGCCAGTAAAGTGATGAAGAGGTGGTTCACTAAGTGAAGGATTCACTGCCAAGGCTGTTGACCTGAGTTTGAGTTTGATAGCTTGAGTTTAATCCCCCATGACCCACATGGTGGAAGGAGAGAGCCAGTTCCTTCAACACGTGTGCTGTGGCACATGTGTACCTAGACACACTCGTGTACACACCTACACACACACCTGCATGTACTCACATACACACCCACCAAAACAACCCAAAAGTAGTAACACCTTTTCCCCGTTTAAAGGTAGTGAAATTGGATCAGCACAAGATAGGGGCAGTAGTTCAGTAGGAACTAAGCACACATTCTTTACTAAGCACACATTCTTATACCCCCAGGAAGGCTGGTACTTCATTATTTATTCATTAATTCATCTGTTTATGTATGTATTTTTGTGATGTTGGGTATTTAATCCAGAGTCTCCCATGTGCTAAGCAAGTGCTCTCCCACTGAGTTTTATGCCAAGTGCTTATTTTGGATATTTTAAATTTCCAATCATGAGAATGTATTTAAAATTAGTAATGCCAGTTAATTACATGCTACTTTGATAAACTTAAATTTTGTAGCTTCTTTTACTAGCACTATTAGAAAGCCTACAAATCCCGTTTGAAGTGATATTACTTGCTTTTTCCTGTATTTTGGCTAGTATATCATCTTGGGTTTTATGCAGAGCCTCTAAATTGTGATTGGAATGTAAAAGGGCTTGCATGTTGAGACCATCTGTGGGAGCTAAATTGTCTGAAAGTTGACAAGAGATCATGCCAGATGGTGAGGTCGAAAGATTGACTTTTTGAGCTTGACATAATGTGTTCATGAAGCTGGAAGAAGTCCGCCTTAGGTTTCTAACTAACAGAAGACCTTGGAAACAGAAGGAGTGATCAGTTACTGAGTTTGGATAAACATCATGCATCAGCACACATGGCTGGTTTAGATCTGAGACTCAGCAGCATTGTCAAAGATAGCAACTTCTGAAAACATTTGGTGTCCCTTTGTCTTCTTGACATTTTGGAAAGTTTAAAGTCACAAATTTGTAGGTAATTTTTACATTAGTTAATACAAAAGAAAAACAAAATCTTTTAAAAATGTTTAGGATAATTAACCTTTTTAATTGTAATTGGAAACATTTTTTTCTTTTTTCTTATTGAAAATTGGGATTTATGTTGGTATTTTTCATTTTTCCTTTAGGTAGCTTATTCATTGCTTATTTTGGAAGAAGAAACCTTAACTTTTTGTAGGAAATCAAAACTGACCCTCCCCCCACATTGTTTATCCTGTGTTAAGCAATGTCTTAGTGATTTTATATGTATCATCTTATTTAATGAACTATATATATATCTTTATATATATGTATATATATTATATATATATATATCTTTAATACTTGGCAGGAAACAGAAATTGAGGCACAGAAATAGTATGGTAAATTTGTTCAATAAACATTTAGGCACTTTTGGCTCTATGTTAAACATTTATCATTTAGACAACATTTAGAGATTCCAGTCTGTGCTGAGCTCTGGTAAGATGATTCAAAGATACTGAACACAGTTATCCATGGCTGTGTCAGTTCCATTGGTGTAGCTAAACAATATTTTTATTGGAGCCTCTTACTGTAGTGTTCTGAAATAGATTCTGTTAATTTCCTAAGTTTTTAACTGTTCCTCTCTCCCATGTGGTCCTGGGGGTCTAACCTAGACTCTCAGTAAGCATTCCAGTTACTGAGCTACATCTCCAGCCTTTTGTTAGTTTCTGTTTATTTGCTTGACTAGCACAGTGCCATTCAGTAGCCTGATTTTTAGGAAATATGATACAGTATTGAAGACTGAGAACAAAAATGAAGCAGATGCATAGAGAAAAGCAGCTGTAGCCATTACAACCGTGCTCTGGGCTCAGTGAGGTAGAGAAAAGGGATCCCTTTAGCCAGATCTGCTAGCTCACTTCATTAGTATTTGCTTGTGTCTTGTTGGCCAGCACTGAGTCATATGTCATGTGGTCAGACCATCTGTGAGGGAGGAGAGGGGGACATTTTAGTGAACACATTGCC